CAGCCATTTTGAAATGTGTAGAGGTGAGAATATCGCAGGCTTCAAGGTTGATCATAATGGTTTCTTAAATATTAAAAATGGAAATAAAGCTTAAATAAGCATTTCCTCTAAAAAACTAAGTTTTGTTCCAGCTTATGTCTCTTTCATTGGCTCCTTATTACTACTCACCTTCAAAGTCTACATTCCCCAGGTGTAGGATGGCAGCCAGAAGCTTGTTAATTTCCCACGTTTCATTTTCTGTGAATGTCAGGATCTTCATTGCTGACCGGAAGCTGGCGTACTCTTTTATGTCATCCCGTCCTTCGCATGTAGTGCACTGACCCTATAATACAACATAATTATATTTAATGTAATGATGATTAGAAGGATAGTTTACCCAAAAATTTAAAAATGTTTCATTCATCCTCATGTTGATCCAAACCTGTACAGTCTGACTTTCTTGTAAGGAACACAAAAGAGCTTTACGTTCATTTCTGTTGCACAGAAGAAATTCTGATGACTATTTAAAAAACGATCACATTAATGTCACTTTATCCTTTTACCTGTCCATTCTCACTCCAAAATGACTTTGTTGTAACAAATGTAAATACACATGAAAAGTGGGAGAAGTAGTAAAGACATAGAATATGATGATCAATACCATGGTGAGAAAGTTGTATTCTGCAGCATTTCCTAAAGACAGGATCTTCTTTTGGTCAAGAGGCATTCCCATGAGCATGCAGTAAAAGATGTGGTAGTTTCTCTCTTGTGGGGCCTGTGCCAAAAATACACTATTATTTATTTGGTTTTACATTTAATTTGCTGTCTCTTGACCTGAAAGATTTCAGTCTGATTATAATCTCATATCAGGATGGTTTACCTGTCGACAAACACGGGATTTCTCAAGTAGGTACTGTTCAATGCGGGCCCCCTCGATTGCTCCATTTTTAGTGAAGTGGATGTCAATGTATTTTCCAAAGCGGCTGGAGTTGTCATTGCGGATGGTCTTTGCATTACCAAAAGCTACAAAATAAGACTTGATGTAAATACTGAAATACTTATCTGAGGAACTACAAAGATGAGTGATGCAGGAGCATCCAATATGTTTCTTTATAAACAACCATACCTTCTAAAATAGGGTTGGCTTCTAGAATCTGCTGCTCAATCCAGGAGCGCTGCCTACTCACTGCAGCAAAAAACTGCAGCATGAGTTTGGTACTCTCTGTTTTTCCTGCTCCAGACTCTCCACTGAAGAACACAACACATACAGACATTCTAGATCACATCAAACAGATAACGCTAACAGAATGTATGACAGATGTTGGAGTTGCCAAAATACAGTCCATGTTTGAAATGGGCTACAAAAGGGTGTAGTACACAAGTCATATGGACCACTTTTATGATCATTTTATAAGCCTCTTTTATCATTTGAGATACTATATACGGAATATCCTTCACCAGATAAAGAGATTAACATTAATAAATAATGTCAGATCAAGATAAGAATAAAGAAAGTCAGATGGGTTTGCAATGACATGATTTTTGTACAAAACCAAAAAGCTTTCAAATCAAACTACAAAATGTCAGTTTCACCCAAGTATGAATGACTGAAAGACCTAATGATGCAGCACTGGTCTTTGCGGTTCCGTCGCATGTTGAAGAAACAGCTGTCTGCGATGGCAAAGACGTGCGGGGGGAGATCACCCAACCGCCGGTCTGTGTACTGCTCCACCTGCTCTGGAGTGTAGATTGGCAGCAGCTGGTAAGGGTTCACCGCCACCAGAATCGACCCTGTGTATGTCTGTCAAAACAAACAAACCAAAAAGTTGTTTCAAGGTCTTTCAAAAAGAGTATAGAGAGTCCCAGTGATGAAAATCTATTAAGCTTTTGCAGTTGGAAGAATAATACATTTATAATGAGATCTACAGTAGTATTTGTTCAGTGCGTGAACTGTCCTTTAATATAGCTGGACTTCAAGTTGGAAGGTTGGCTTTACTATATAATAGGCATGTCAATGTTGTATAATAATATGAAGCGCTCATCAAAATTGGAACTGGCTGTTTCTATAGAAACAATCTTGTTATTAAACAGGAAGGGCAAAGAACAGCTGGTGAATGAACTGAAGTTGGTGAATTAAGTGGACATATCAATCCCTATTCTGGTCATTTTAGCTTCACAAATATTGAAAGCTACTATTTTAATTCATATATTTCTGTATAGATTTAAATTCATACATGATTTATCTATTGCAGTGGTTAAAAACTCACATAGATTGCTCCTTCTTTGTAGCGCACTAGAAGGTTCCGTAACAGTCCAGCCTCATTTAGGTCACCCAGCCGTATCATATCATCCACACCCTTCACTGAGGTGGGATGCATGGGCTTCAGAGAGTTGTCCTTCTTAATCTTGTGCTCCTGGAAATCATGCCATAGAGGATATCAGCTACACTTCTACAGTCAAGAGAAGAAATTAACTAAGACTGGCTGCATATTACCTTTCCCTCATCGTCGATGAGCTGAAGTTGCCCCGTGTCTGAAAGTAGGACTTCAGCTCCGATTTGGACCCCATCACTGCAGTCCACCCACACATAGTCTCCCTAAAGGGGATAATTATTATTTTAAGATGTGAATTAAACCATTAACATTAATACATGTGTATGTTAGAAGAAGACAAATGAACTGAAGATAATATACTTTACTTGATCTTCTTTAAGAAAGAATGTTCATAATATGCCGACTTTCTGGACATGGACCATGGTAATGCCATATCATCCTTTGAAGTAAATTGGAGTACCATGTACCACGGTATGATTACAGTAATTTTATTTATACATACATATATCTGATACCATCAAATACCTGTACTTTGATATATATAAAAGATATTGTTCAACCATAAACTAAAGGACAATTCATGATTAGATAAAGCTATGGCATTAGAGTCCATACGGTCCAGTCATTAACTATGATTTAACATAAAACTAATCTAGAACAGAAAGTACCAAAGCATCATGGTAATGCCGCACCCTGTTGAAAAACCAGCATATGCTGGTTAGGTATGTTTTGAAGCTGGGATGCTGGTTTATGCTGGTCCTAAACTGGTCCGACCAGCTTAAGACCAGCACATGACCATCTAAGGACCAGTTTAAACCAGCAAAGGACCAGCTTAAACCAGCTCAAACCAGCATCCCAGCTTCAAAACATACCTAACCAGCATATGCAGTTTTTTTCAACAGGGCAGTAATTTCCTTAAGGTGAAAATCTCTTCAAATACTTCAAAAATTTACCTTCCCTAAAACCACCATGACTGAGTCCTCCCGTCCCCCAGCCTGGATATTAGAACAAGAGGACAAATGTTATAATCAAATATTGCTAAGGATATTTCATTAGTGGAGCTTATGAACAAAGGCAAAATGGCATCTAACATACAAGTACACATTACATGAAGTACAATAAAATAGTTTCATCCATTTATGTATTAAATAACAAAACCAAACCACTGAAATTTTTTAAAACATCAACCATAACAAATCCAATGTGAGCTACCTATACCTGTGGATATTCTGTGAAGTCTCCTGATCTAGAAGTATTTTTTGTCGCTCTTCTTTGAAGCCAGAACAAATCCCCACAGGTTGAGTGTTCAGTCAAAAGAAATGACTGCTCGGAAACAACAGGTGTTTATGAGACTTTGACTTTGCACCCTGACTAACACATCCAGAATGATAAATACAAGGAAGCTCTGTTCTCCAAATCAGAACAAAAAGCTGTTATTAGTAAATTATAAATACCAAAAAGCAGACTAGAGAATATTAAGAAAATAAAGCTTCAAAATAAACTGTCTTTTACAATGAACGCTAGTAAAATTGCAACAGAAAGGCAGTGTGGACCTGCACAGACACACCAGTGATGTGAATATCAATATACAGAACAAAATTAAGACAGATAAGAAAAGAAATACAATGTTATTTATCTGAACATTTTCAGTTTTACGTAATGTTTTTTCTTTTTCTTTTTTACAGTAAAGTGTTGAACCTTTGGACCCACGTGACAACAAATGGAGGGCTGAGATCTGATCATAACGGGGCAATCAAGTAGTAAATAGCATAGTGTCATAGTTATGAAGGGTGGAGCCATTCTGGAAAGTCATATTTCCATCAGACAATACCAAACTTCATTGCAAGAACTCACAATAATTAGAGTTTACGTGGTGTGGTGTTTTTAGGTCACAGGCAGTTTATAGAACAGGTTCGCTCAACAGAGTCAAGAGAATAAACCATGTACAGTATAAAGAATAAAAAGAATAAACCTTACATAGATTTTATAAAATGTATATCCTTATCAAATGAAAACATATTTGACCTTAATCTACAAGTAGAAACAAGGTGAGATAAAATTGTTAGACACAATCAATGCAGGAATGCTTACTGTCTTTTTTTTCACATCATGGTCATTAATTCGTTACACATCGTAAGAAATACTAATTTTACCTACCAGAAAATTAAAATAAGACTATTTTTAAGCTAGTTTGAAACATCAAATCTGTCTGCAAACACCCTTTACTAGCTTGGTTTAGTGTAAATCATAAAGACTACTTAGTAAATTCTGAATGATGAAAATGGTGGACATTTTACTACCATCTTCACATTATTAGAAACATGGTTTCTAACAATGTGGAAACTGTTCTAACAATAATGAAAGGAGTTTACAGAGTACTACTAGTGAAAGAGCAGACTAGATTTCCTGCTGCGTATCTGATTTTTCATCGGTTCCGTTGAAGAAAAGAAAAAAGATAGATCCCCAACAACATCCTGTTGCTCAAATAGTAGAGCATGGCGCTAACAATGCCAAGGTGATGGGTTGATTCTCAGGGAAAGCAAGAACTGATAAAATGTACTTTGAAAGCAACACAAGTCGCTCTGGATAAAAGCATAAGCAAATGTAAATAATGCACCGCAGCTTTCACTAGCGAAGTCTTGTGAGGTGTATTTAGTACCAAATGTACTTACTAAACAAGATTCTTTGTAAATGTATCCAGTTTTACTGCAATAGCACATAATAGTTACACATGGAAAAATAAAAGAATGTAAGAATGAAGAAAAAAAAAAAACTTACAAAATAGCTAAATTATTATTCAAACCCAGAACAACATATCTGTAAAACAGCACAAAAAAAAAAACAGTGAAAACCACATCACTTCCATTAAGAACAATTTTCTTACAGTGAAACATAAAACATTACACACATTCTTATAATATAAATTCACATAATTATACTGATTCTTTCAAGTACACACTTTGTACGACCATCAGTCACTATAGCGCTTGAATGTTTACAGTGATGAAAAAAACTGGAAGGGTTAGAGGGCATTATATCTGGTTAGAACGAGTCTATTACCACATATTTTCATAGTGGAATTTCTGACTAATCTGGGAGAGATTAACTTCAACGTTTGTATTTAACAAAAAAAAAACAACAACCCAGTTTCACCCATGTTACAAGGTACCAAAACATGGAAAGCTAGCACACTCTGCGAGCATGTGCGTGTGTGCATTCTGTACTCGGTGTGAATCAAACTAGATACAGGAGTTACATCTAGCAAACATGACCTTTCTGATCTTTAAAGTCCATTACAGCAAAAGCATCGCCTCTACAACTAAAAAAAAAAAAAAAGAAGACAACATGTTTCTTTTAAAATGAAATACTTAAAGAATTTCTTTAGGGGACAAACAAAAACCATTGGTTAACCAGGCTGCCTCATACCCAATGGACAGTTTAACAGTCCACAGTAAGCAGCAGTTCCTATAAAAACAGTTCAATGGTTTACAACAGTCTCTCTCTCTCTCTCTTTTCGAGACTGTAAAAGAAAGTAGATGATTGTGCACAGCAACCTGATAAACCATAACAGGTCCAGCTTTTGAAGAGCATTCCTGTGTTCGACTCTGCTGAAGGACAAAGATTAACACCATGGAGTGGCATCTATGCCCGCTCCTTGCGCTTTAACTTGGAGCTGTTCTTGGGAGTTCCATTCTTGTTGAGCAGCTTCAGGACTCTGTCCTTATGGTCCAGTACTTTCATCATGGTGTCGCGAGCTTCAGTCACCTGATCCATCACAAGCTTGCAGCGCTGCATATTGCCCTGAACAGAGTAGGTCAAAAGGTCATGAATGTATTTCCAGTAAAGTTGTGCTATGGTTTTTGGGCCAGTCGTTACATGTATAGGTCTAATTTGCATCCAATTCATGATTGTTGTTAAAGGGAAAGAAAATTTCGATATTATTTCCTCACTCTGGTGTTGTTTCAATGCCGTACACCCTTCATTCTTTTTTTGTACCACAAAAGGATAAAAAAAAAAAAAAATTAATGCTAGCGCTACTCCATATATTGACAATGAATAGCAACCAGCATCAGAAAAAAATATGCAGAAGTATCACAGAATGGCCAGTGATCTGGAGGTATATGATAGGGTTTTGTAAATAACAAACATAATTTAATTTATTATTTAATAAAAATCCTGACCTTGGCTGTTGGCTTTCTTGTACACAACTGCATCATACACGAGACACTATTGGTGCCTCAGTTTACTTTCACCCTACCTATACCCCCAGAACAATTGAAATATATACGACACATGTTGCATGGGACAATTCTTTGATACTTTTGCATCTTTTTTAAAAGACTGATGCTGGTCACCATTCACTCGCATTATATAATTATATAATAGTTAGAACAACACCAGGTGAGTAAATGATGACTTTTTTTATTTTCATTTTGGATGAAATAACCCCAAAGAAAGACAAAGTACTGAACAGAATTAGAAAAAAATAAACACAACGCTTGTTTTATTTTCATATTTTCAATTTAAAGAGCCCCTTATGTTCTGTTGCATTTCGTTTTCAGGTTAAAAGTTTTTTAATATATAGGAGAAAGTGTACATTTTAGGTGCTGTATCATTATTCAGTATTTCTCTTTCAAGGTGGTTTTGGGCATTCAGAGCCTGTTTATTGGAGTTTCCATGGTGGGTTGGTAATCTTGAGATACTAACTTGTATGAGCTCATTGATGCGGTGCAGATCCTCGTCAGCTCCAGCTCTCTTCTTTGGGATGAGGCCTTCCTGCAGGGTGGTCAGCCGGCTGTACACGTCATGCTCCAAGTTAGTCTGTGATCAAACAAGAAAGGAATTAATTTAAATGTTACCTATATGCAGCATTAACCGCCTCAATAACAGGCTGTTAGCATAATATATAATATATATACAGTATATATATAATATATACTGTATATATATATATATATAATATACTGTATATATTATATATATACAGTATATAACACAGTGAAACTCTAATTAAGCCAGTGTAGAGATTTCTGGTGGAAATGACTCCATCAGCTGCAGAACCCACCAGCTGTAGCAGCTGTGCAGCACACAGGTGCACTTTCCAGCCCTGAGCTCGACATGCTACTCCTCTCTGATTGGCCATGTCCTGAAGGCTGCCTTTCTTCTCCTCTGAGGAGACAGTAGTGAGATGATTTTGACTCATATGACCATATTCAGTACTATAATCATATTAAAAAAAGAACAAGAAAACAACAGTGCACCAAAAAAAAAAAAAAAAAGAGAAAGCAGACAATGTTCAGAAAGTACTTACCTTTGACTTTGATGTCACAGTACCTCTGGAAGTGGTGATAGGCAGCCTTCCATGGGTTACGGTATTGGCGCAACAGAGTGAGGGGCGGTCTGGGGCGGACTGGTACGTAACGAACACCGTCCTCATCTACATTAATACAATCAATGTCACAATTGAACAAGTGTTCACCCATTTTGGGGGGTATTACAAATTCACACTGCTGTAGCGTCTGGACCAATCAAACACACAATTTTTCATTTGATTTAACAAATCAGTTATTCATTAGATTAACAAATCGTCACAGTCCCCTCACCCAATAAACTGGGTGCCAGGATGTCTGCAACGACACCAGGCCCCTCCTGGTCCCCATGGCAACCACGACACCTTTGCTAGACCAGATACATTTACGACCTAATGGCATGTTGAGAATTACCCCTCTCACTACAATTTCCATAGGAAAGACACAGTGCACAGTAGAAATGATATTTAAAAAATCTTACTGATGGGTACTGCCAGCTCTTTTCTTTCTGTATCCTATGCTGCTCTGTGGCTGCTGCTTTTTTTTCTTGTTTCGCACTTGTATGTATATTTATTATAATTTATTATGAATTTATGTGAATATTGTTTTCATGTTCACTTAAATTAAAATTTGCTATTATGTTTTTAATGTTCTGTAAAAAAAAATCAATTTAATGGAGGCATCAGTATCAGTGATAATGGCATTCATTCATAGTATGTGAAAAAAGTCATTAAACATTTATAATACTGTCTTTATATTGTTTTCACATTCATTTGGTGCAATCAATCACAATTACTTACATTGGTGTGATCAATAACGTCTATTTTTTTTTTTTAACGATCAAGTTTGTTTCATTTATCAGAAAGGATTAACTGTTTAGTGGAATTTTACATAATCAGCTATTTAGATTTTCTGACGTTTACGTGGTGCAGACTGGATCTATAAATTTTTTTTTTATGATTTCCAAAAGGTATATATCCATGGATAATCTCACCAACATATTCCCTAGGTGGAGACTCATGTCTTTCAGGTCTGTTTCCTGGAGCTCGGCTGCTAGCTCTCTCTTCGTCTGTGCTGTTGGTCTCCACCATCTCCGTCTCCTCAGTGGAGATCACATGCTGCTGTTTGCGGGGTTTCTTTCTTGGAGAGGCCCCGGGTAGGAGGTCTCCGGGTTGGGAAGATATGGCCAGGGTGGAGGCCTGAGAGGAGAGGGATGGAGCCGGACCCGTCGAAAAAGGAGCTAAGGGCACTGGAAAAAAATAGAACTCATAAATATATGGAGTACCCAAACTCCAGCCTTAAAATCGTATCTTATCAAAGATATTTTAAAACAGCCCATGTGATAATACATTGCTTGAACTGGATGCAGAATTGACCTTATTCTGATAAATAACTGACAGCTCAAATAGCTAATCAAAGTGCTGATCTGACAAGCCTTATTATTGCTATCTACCATTTTGTCTGTCTAGCTTTAAAGCTGTCAGATACATACAAACCACCTTTTATAGCAAACTCCTATGGCAAAAAAAAAAAAGATGTTAACATGGCACATGTAATTCGAATAGTGTCCAGAGTGGCTTGTTGTTGAGTTTCATTTGTTTCTTTCCCGGAATAAGCAAGTGATATCAAAAAATGCAAGCACTGGATAAGACTTGTTCCAAAACTAACACTAGATCCAATTTAGGTGATTACATAGAATTTTATTAGGGGTGGCACGATACCATTTTTTCAGAACCGATCCCGATCCAATACCAAAAGTTCTGAGTATCGGACAATACCGATACGATACCAGCACAGTTTTTTAATTTAATTTCTATACCTCAGTGTGTGTTGACCTGATCATCACTCTTTTGTGTATATACCCTTATAATGTATTATAAATACGGGCTTCATATAAAGTGTTACCAACGTTACTCTACAAAAATGATGAGTTCACAATAATTTTATAAAATCTAAACATTTAGAGAAAAAAACATTTAGTGGGGGAAAAAATAAAAGTAAATAGGTATTATCTGGTAAAATGTTACACATTGCTCTTTGTATTGTAATATACATTCATGAAAAACAAGTAAATATAATTATATATAAATATATGCAATAAATTAAATACATTTCTTTTACATTATAGCACAGTAATGAGGCAGCAACATATGATAGATAAGACAGAACAAGAAAGGCTATTAACAATCTTTCATTGCGCAAAAGTATTATAGCATGAAAAGCTCCAATACAGAGCGGCACGAAGCGCTTCTTTGAAAAGTTCAAAGATACTGATGCGTAGTGTATTAAATCTGTGCGTTAGTTTATTGAGCCTTTGATTTTATAAAATCTAAACATTTAGAGAAAAAAAACATTTAGTGGGGGAAAAAATAAAAGTAAATAGGTGTAATCTGGTAAAATGTTACACATTGCTCTTTGTATTGTAACATACATTCATGAAAAACAAGTAAATATATCAAGTATAATAATAGGAACATTGTATCATCCTTGAGAGTTTCGTCGTCTTGACTGTCGTAACTGAACGCGACGCGCAGCTTGAATGCTGAATGGAGGATGACTGACAGCCGCAGCGGAGAGAAGGGTTTACGAGAACTTGAATTTAATGACTTAAATACTCATCTGTACCTCACATTATACTATGGAACGGTCTCAGAACACTTGAAATATAGTGCACAGAAACTTTATGGTGCTTTATAATGTTTTTGTGCCTTTCGTGGGGCTTAACAAAAACACAGAATGGTATACGCACTATATCGGATTTGGATCGGTCTCGTCTGACTGATACCCCGATCCAGCAGAAAATGCCAGTATCGGAGCGATACCGATACTGAATATCGGATCGGCGCACCCCTACATCAAACACGCATCAGTTCATGACAAGTACAATAATATAATAATTCAAATGACAATTCAATGCACTAGTGCTAACGTCACTTTGACTTTCGCATGAAAAGTTTCCAATAGCATCCCAGTATAGGAGCGATACCGATCCTGAATATCGGATCGGCGCACCCCTAAATTTTATATGCAATATGCTTCTCAGGTTTATTTCCTCCGTAAATATTTATCTACAGCTGGAGTAAACATCTGTTTACTAAATGCAAATGGGCTTCATCCAAGATACTTTTGCATTCATCGACTTCTCTTATATGTGGAATATTTGGTTTTATTTGAAAAAAAAAAAAAAAAAACTCCAGTGTGAATCAGTTTTTAATAATTTCACTATGTTCTTATATTTTACCTTTACATTTAGGGTTTCACCATAACCTGATACAAAAGCTTGTGTTTTCTGATTTCTGATGACAACGATAAACTATGTAAAACTGCATTTGAAGCAATTTATTCCAAAATCATCAGGTACGTCATTTTGTTTGATGGACATACAGTAAATGGAGTATCCATCCTTGAATTAGAGTTTTTCATCCTCGAAGCAATGAGCATGGTTAAATAACCAATATCATAAGGTCAAGTGTTTATAGCTGTTATGGCTGTATAGGAATATGTGGACTCCTGTTTTCACAAGCACACCTACCTGCTTGTGAAGTATCCATTGGCTCAGTTTCCTGTTTCACTTTAACCTCTGGAAGGGTGGAGCTCAGGGCAGCAGTGCTGGTGGCAGCTGGCTGAGTGGGAGAAGCCACTGCATTGGCCATGGAGGCAGGCACAGGGGGAGTGACAGCCATGGCTGCCGGCAGGGCTGAAAGAACGGCAGTGGGCTGAGAGGGAGGTGTCGGAGCTGGTGGAGCCAGAACGGTGGGAATGGCCTGTGAATGATGCTGAGCAGGAGTGCACAGCGGCTGCTGCTCACCTCCGTGACTCGGAAGAGACTCCACGGTTGCCATGACTGGGGACGCCATAGCAACATGAACATCAGATTTGGGCTTCACTCTGATTACAGAAAAAGCAGAACCACATTCAGATCTGCATGCATAAAACCAGTTTTAGACAATCAGATCACATGCATGCAAACACTGTTAACAGGGTTCCCACATTTGATTTTTCCAGCAGGAATTTTAAAAATCATTTTACAGTGATCACACCCAATTTTCTAGCAGATTAAATACTGCAGAACTGAACATAACTAGGAAGAAATTTCCATGGCTTTTTCATATCCTTGGACACAATGAAGTGGAAATAGTGAAAGTTAGGGTGGACATTTTCTACAGTTTGGATTTTGCATAGGCAGGGTTCCTACACATTTTCCATTTCATAATTCCATACTTTTCCAGACTTAAATTTCTCTCACTAGATTTTCAGACCATATTTAACATAAATGGTTCGTACAGCATTATTTTCAGCTTTATTTTTGGTATGTAGTACAGTCATCTGTTAATATTGTTATTTTCTCAGGTTTTTTTTCAATGATTATCTTGCATACATACATAATGATTTTTGCATGAACACAGTTTTTCATGCCCTCGAGAAACAAATCACATACGCACGGGAATATTTTGCTCGCTTACGCATCACATTTTCTAGTTTTATATACTATAACCCATTTCCTTTGTGTGTCACTGCCATCTTACTATGAATAATATGAGAGCATGGATGCACATGAATTAAAGGGTTAGTTCACCCAAAAATGAAAATCAGCCCATAAATTACTCACCCTCAAGTCATCCTAAGTGTATATGAGCGTGCGTCACTTCTGAGCGGCGCATGCACAAAACTGACCTTATACGTAATCTGCCCGGAACTGCTTCCGTGTACAACAGTAAGCGCAAGCTACATTAAAGTGATTATTACGTTTTGAATATGGATATTTTTCTTACAAAAACGCATCGATTCGCAACAGAAAGCCTTTGTTCACCCCCCGGAGCAGTGTGAGACTTTTTTTTTAATGGATGGGCGCATTTTATTTAACTGCTTTTAGACAGATGCATGCAACACCCGCTGAGTGCCATGAAACAGCTTGAAAGATCAAAGACCATTTTTAATATAACTCCGACTGGATTCGTCTGAAAGAAGAAAGTCATATACACCTAGGATGACTTGAGGGTGAGTAATTTATGGGCTAATTTTCATTTTTGGGTGAACTAACCCTTTAATAGAGATCTACTTGCTCATAATTTGGCTTAGGGTAGTACCTCTAATAGATGGATCAGTGTGGATTGTCCTATATGCTAAGTTTAATGGTTTCTCGTATATTGTATATTTTTTATTTTTGCAAAGGTCCTTTTAGAGGCTCTGTAATATGGTGCTAAGGATATCCTGAGAAAAAACCTGCAATATAATCTGTATTTTTGCATAATGAAAAAGTGCACCTTGAATTCATTCAGTCATATTTGACAGTCACTAAAGAATCAATAAACAGCAGCCAAGAAAAAACACTTCTTGTATGATAAATGTATTTTCATTAAATTTATAATTTTCTATTATAGAAAACTAAATAGGGGCAAATGTCTGGAAATGCAAATATTTTCCATACACTGCTTTCTTTTTTTCCATACTTTTCTAAAGTATGTAAATTACTCAAATCAAATTCCATACTTTTCCAAACTGCATAGGAACCCTGCATTGGATTTTGAGGAGTGGGCTGTTGCACTCAAAAATGCAGGCAGACGAATGCATGTTAGCAGAGACGTCCTGTACACACCACCAGAGAGTGAGTCATTTTACTGGAAGATCCAGTTATGACATTTTGACTAAAAATTATGAGGTGAAAAATATAAAAAATATACATGGAATAATCATTAACAATAAGATCGGTAACATGCACTTGAAAAAAGGATGAATTTTAATTTAATGCCGACTTCACTTCCTTGAGGTTTTAAGGCCTGGAAATCACACTTTAACCCTGAAAGTTACAAGTTATCCAGGACTGTGGGAACCCTGTGTTAGGAACATTGTCTTTTGTCCTATTTTGAATAGGATAAGGAAGGATTTTCAGGCAGGGCTTACCCCACTGGGCGAGGGGATCCCGAGAGCCTTATCCCACTATCCATTCGGCCAGCGTTATGCTCACTTGTCTGTGCTGGGATCAGACTTTTACGCACTGCCCTAGAAATACACCCCAAAAGTGGTCTTACACTATTTTAGCAACATCTTATTTGTTTTTAAAGATGCAAGCACACTAGGCTGGGTTACTTCTCAGGACATCAGTAATGAGAGACTGAATGAATTAAACTTAAATTGTTTATATATGATGGATAGTTTGGCTATTCAGTAGTTAACATACTATAAATACATACGCTATGAAACTATAGTAAAGGCTGTGGAGTGAAAGCTGACTCACCCCTCATTCACAGGTTTTTTGCGAAGGATGCTAGGTCGAGGGGAGGAGATGAGTGTGGGTGCACCTGTAGCCGCCCCCTGGGGGTGTGTCTGCACCATCGTAGTGACAGGCTGCGTGCCACTAAAAGTGCTCCCGATTGGATTAGTGACAAAAGCAGGACTTTCAGCCAAAACAACACCTGTATAACAAAACAGATTATTATTTTTTTTTTTTTATCTTTAATGTCTTTTTTGATCAATTTAATCAAATTAATTAATGCTTGCTGAATTAAAGCATTATTTTTTTCCACAAATAAAATTTTCTGACCCCAAACATTTGAACAGTAGTGTATATTATCATATTTACATTATTCATTAAATGGTTTCCATTTAAAAATAATACAAATATTAAATGTGTTAAAGTATAAAGTAATATAAATAATGCTTTTAATTTATGATGTCTGTAATAATAACTGGAAAACACACTTTTGCTGAAAAATGATGACATACAGTGATCAGTTTAAGATTTAAGATTTTAAATGATGTTTCCAAAACTATCACAAGTCTTTTTTTCCCCAATTTTGACAAAACTAGCTACATAACACTACATTGGTAACATTTCCAGAAAAAGCAAAACAATAAACAAAAAGTAAAAGTAGTGGGTACAGTAAGCAAGCAAGTAAAAATTCCTTCAGCTGGCCCCCGAGTCATCCATATTGACATAACCTAAAAATTCTTTAATTTGGATATAATTTTTCTTCCCCCACTTACAATTACTGAATATACTCTGAAAGGGGTGCTAAACTTACCTGGTGGTTTTGCTTCTGATTGTGGCTGTTGCGGAGCCTGCTGTACGCTCTGGGTGCCGATTGGTGCAGTGGCATGCAGCCCCTGCACTCCTATTGGTGCAGGCTGAATGCCCTGAGCAGTCATAGAGGCTGGCTGGATGTTCTGAGTGCTGATCTGGGCAGATGGCAGGCCGATGCGATCCACTGCCATCAGCATGGGGTTCAAGTGCACAGTGGTGGCCACACCAACACCAGCCTGAGCAGGAAGAGCTGAGCTCTGAGCTGGAGCCGTTACTAGGGAATAAAGGACAGAGTCTGTGTTAAAGGTCTAAGAAACATTTAAATATTAGCACAGAAGTTCTGGTGTCTTGTGTTTACCTGGGTAGGGGCGGATGGTGGAGACCGAGCTGGTGATGGGGGTGTAGGTGTGGGTCAGAGGATACGGGGATGAAGGGTATGTGGGTAGAAAGTACTGAAATTGCACTGGCACTGATGGCCTGCAGAAGAACACAAACGGTTAACATGACACAAGCTTCAATTCACTGATAATTCACTGATTGGATTAATTCAGGGGTGTCCAATCCTGCTCCTGGAGGTCCAACGTCCCGCAGAATTTTCCTGAAGACCTTGATTACTTGGAAAAGTGGTTCTCCAGGTGCAGGTTTGAACACCACTGACTTCACTCACAATTAACTGCCAGATCTTAACCATCACAAGAAGAGTTTTTAGAGTAGTTTCACCTGTTATCGCCGCGAGCCTCCATGGTGACAGGGTTTGGAGAAGAGCGATGGCCTGAGATGGGAATCAGGCTGGTCCTTTCTCCTGGGTACTCTGGCTGGATGCGTGGGGAAGTGTGGGCAATCGGTTGAGGAACCACTTTAGCTGGAGAGGCCAGAAACATTAAGAAAGAATGAAAAATGGAGTCAGTTCTAACTAGGGAAGCACCGATACCGGGGACAGTGATATCGGGCCCGATACTGCACTTCTGTACTTGTACTCATAAAAATGCTCTGATACCAAAAGCCGATACCACACAGCGTGTAAACAGTGCAGAGTCCAGACAAAGAAACCCTGACAACAGAACAACAGAGAGCAGAATGGAGTTATTAGAGATTAAGGATGTGTATGAACTGAAGTATATGCATGTAATTAATATAATGTTAAACATACAATATTTATGCCTGTAGAGCTGATGTGCGCAAGCTGATATGCAAAGCACGCTGAGTGGATTGAGCGCACGGCGGCACAGATGTGGAAGCTTGTCGTGCGAATATCCCTTTCTCACAAACATCACTGGAAAATTTGTAGTTATAGTAGAAAGAGAGAGAGAGAGAGCGCGAGAGCGTGTACTTGTGTTGCATGATCTTGATTGCTGTTCGCTCACTTAGCACACGCATCATTTGGATTAAAGGGGTCATATGATGCGATTTCATTTTTTCCTTTCTCTTTAGAGTGTTACAAGCTCTTTGTGCATAAAGAAGATCTGTAAAGTTGCAAAGAGTAAATATAAAACAAACAAAAATTATAGGGGTATTCACTATAAACAACATTTATTTTAAACGTCAAGCATTCCTGACTTTATTTAAAGCGAAAGTGAAACTAGCAGCCCGTGAGAAATGCGGTGTAGGCTACAGGCGTCTCTACAGGCGAAGTACCATAGAGCAGTGGTTCTCAAAGGGGGTACGGAGTTTTGGCATTCATTTAATTCTACCCCAACTTAAAGTAACATTAAAACCGAACATGTCTTTCTAACAAGCAAAATGCCACTTCTAATGTAAAAACAGGGAAATGGGAGTGCCGTAAACGGTCAAATACATGATATCCAATTAGCTTACCTCATCTTTTGCGGTTAAAACTGACTGCATCCACACAAGCAGTGTGCATGTGATAGGATGCCCGCTGAATATGTTCAACAAAAAAAAGGTAATATCAAGTGAACATTTTACATTTTAAATGTAGCCTACATTTTAAACAGAATATTGTCATGTTTGTTCTATTTTGCAACGAAACAATAGTTCCAATGAAACCCGTATCATCTGGTGTGCGTCTCGAAGCAACATACAGCAGTGTTTCATTAGTGAACGAATCTGCGGCTTTGAACGATTTCTAGAGTCAGTTATTAATAACCCATTCATAACCACAGCATTTTGTTTCGTTACTGAATGAATGAATGAATGACGCAACGCCTGGCTCATTAAGACAGCGACTTGCCGCCACCTCTTGGCGGTTTTATTTTTAAATCTACAAGTATCACTTCGATTTGCCATCATTTATTGCTTTATTTATTATATTAATAATACACTTAATGGAATGTTAAGAATATGACATAAAACATGACATACAATTAATAAGGATAGAAAATATTTGCCTCTATAAAAGGTAAAAAAATGCACCTGTAAATCAATTTAAGGGGGCAAATATTGTCCTTTAATAGAAAAGGTGTGACTGCGGTCTAAGTGGAAGAGAGGGGGTATGCAGAAGAATGTTAAATGCCCCAGGGGGTACGCTGCTGTAAAAAGTTTGAGAACTACTGCCATAGAGCAATAAAATGAGCAGTGAAAATATAACAAAAGCTTGCACAATACATTTGAACAGGTATAATTCAGTGTGAAAGTAACTGCAGGAAATATCTGTTTGCTAAATGAAGTCAGCTTAACATGATTCTTTTTTTTTTTTGGTTTCTGTACCCAATATGTATAAAAATTACAAATGCTTTGAAAATAGAGGTATTGGTACTCGGTATCGGCAAGTACAAAAATAAAAGTATCGGTCTCGTTCTGGAAAAAGTGGTATCAGTGCATCCCTAGTTCTAACAAACAATCAAATCCATCCATCAAACAAACTATCAATCCATTTAAAAGGGGCATCGGATTACATTTTCACTTTTTTTTTTTTTTTTTTTAACACACAGCCAGTTTGTTATGCACTGTCTGAGTCTGAAACTGTGTCATCCAGTGAGCGGTTACAATTTGCAGCCGTTTCTACATAGATAGCTAGCTATTTCAATAAGACCACCTCTGAGCCATAAATGGAGTCCAAGGCAGCAATTCTCACTTCTTGTGTCAACACGCCTAATGGAAGAGAGGGGTGGAGTGAGCAGTAGCTCATTATCATTTAAAGAGACATGCACTGAGACGAGTCGCTGTGAACAGAACTCTTTTTGACAAGGTAAATCAATCCATCTATCCATCAATCCATCTGTAAGGCCAGTAAAGGGTCACACTTCAAGTTTTTCTGTAGTAGTAGAAGTTATTTATTTTTATTGCCATGTCAGCATCAAAGGTTATCTTTGTAGCAAAAACGGAGTTTGGATAACACAAGAGCTACATAAACACAAATTAAAATCAAACAAACAAAAATACAGCAGTTAAAATTATACTAGATTTAAAATCTCTCTCTTTAAAATCTTTTCTGGTAAAATCTTACCAAACAAGCCCGAGTAAGCGTAGGTCATAAAAAAAGTTTTGAACTTGCATTACAACCGGGACATTCCAATAAAATATGTTCAAATTAGGGATGTCAACGATTAATCGATGATCGATTAATTGTCGATAAGAGATGCAATCAATTAAAGCTATCGATGGTCGATTAAGCTATTTAATTTTGGGCTGCACAAACAAAAGCGAAATATATCTGACTTAAATAATTAAGCTAACACATTTAATACAGAAGTGTGGCGCGGCGCTCCATAAACAAGTTCACGGAAAGGACAGGATGACAACGTGCATTCTGTTTGTTTGCTTTATTTTACAAAGCACAAATCTTCTGTTTTTATTGTGAGTGTGCAAAAATAAAAGTAAACACCTTTGCGGATTATATCCTACTCCAAAAATTGTGTTCGCTCCATAAACAAGTTCACGGAAAGGACAGGATGACAACGTGCATTCTGTTTGTTTGCTTTATTTTACAAAGCACAAATCTTCTGTTTTTATTGTGAGTGTGCAAAAATAAAAGTAAACACTTTTGTGGATTATATCTTACTCCAAAAATTGAGTTTTTTTATGTTTCAGCTGTTCGATCGCGTCGGCTCCTCGCGTGCACACACACCACATATTCTAGTTGTTGTGTTGTTTGTCTCAATAACAAGTCTGTATCGTTGTTATCTCAACTTTATTAACACACTCTCAATTAAATGATCGCTCTCTTAACTCTCGCGATCACTCTCTCGTTCCCACCCCTTGTTCTTGCGATATCACTACACTACACTAGCAATTCATATTTACATCGCAGTCTGTTCATTATCAAAATAAAATACAGTCAACCAAACATATAAAAG